AGGTGCCAGGGATGTCCTTGAGCTGCGTACAGCCATCCAAAGACATGAGTGGGTGAAGGCAGCTGTACGCAACTATGCATTGCTATTAATGTAAAAAACCGCAGGTGCACAGACGTACACTACACTAATAGCTGAGCACAGCTGCGTACAGCCACTTTCACCCATTCACATGTATGGGCAACTGTTAAAAGCACCAGGACTTCCCAGGCACCAAAAACATGCCACTTGTTTACCTTCATGGGTAAATGCACCCATGTGCATGTCGCCATAAAAAAATGTCTTTCCCTAATACCCCTAATAGAACGGGTCGAAGAAATCCGGCTGCTTTAATCTGAATGTCAAGCCTCATTTTGAGCATGCTCATTCTGTAGTGTGCTAAACCAAGTGTACCAATAAATAAATAATTTGCGCTAGTAAATGTGTATAAAAAGAAATCATCAAATCATAAGTCCAGAAAAAAAATATATATATGCCAATACCACAAAAAAAATTAAAAAAACTTTTAAGTGCAAAAAACTTTTGTGCAAAAAAAGTGTCTAAATATGAAAAATTTTCACCAAAAAACCTTGATAATATAATGGCAGATCATCCATAAATATATCTTCAGAAACGGAAACTCTGCAACACATCGATCCTCATCGATCGAAATAACAGGATGAAAAACTTTGTAGTTAATCGAAAATCCACTTCTCCAATAGATAAAGGACCACCTTCAAACGTATCCATGGGGGGAAATGCCAAGCACTCGAGAGAAACAGAAAGACTTCATGGTGCAATATTATAAAAACCAATTCCTTTATTAGGTACTCATTGCACTTACTCAAGAGGTGTCCCAGCCGACACCAGCATCAACAGCATAACAGCAATCACATAAACGAGCCTGGCTACTCAGCACATGCGCAGTAGCTGGCAGCCAAAAACGTAATGACGTCACATCAATCAAGCTCCGCCCTACGCGTTTCGTCATCGACGTCCTCACGTATTGATGTGCCATCCTGGAGGAGTTGGACTGCCTGTGCAACCTCTGTAGGGTCCAGGTATCACCTCATGCTACCAGTAGTGACAATGACCCTAGCCAAATGAAAAACTAGTGAAAAACAGTTAGAAAAGATGAGTAAGGAAAAAAATGTCAGTGGCCTCCACCTGTAAAACCATTCCTATATTGGGGGTCGTCTTTTTGTTGCCCATCCAGTGCACCTGTTGTCAATTTAATTAACACCAAAACAGCTGAAACTGATTAATAATCCCCTCTGCTACTTAACTGACCAGATCAATATCCCAGGAGTGTAATTGACTTGATGCTATACTCTCATTAAAAAGTGTTCCTTTAATTTTTTGGAGCAGTATATATATATCTATATATAAAACTTATTGACTTTAACAATATAATAAAATAAATTCTGAGCCATTGGATCAGAATAAAAACAACAGTAGTTAAGAAGCCTTTTCTTTTCTTCAAGTACTGCACCTATTATCTGTAACTGGCATTGTTCAATTTCACACCAGATGAGACAGCGAGAATTGTTTATGCTGGTGTAACAGATTTCAGTATTTTTACTCAGAGGAAAATGCTTTCAAACAGACACAGCCACACCAATTGACAGCTCTTGTAACATAAACAGCTTTGTTTCTTATTACAACGGGTTTTTAGAATTAAACAGAAAATAGCTTAATTTATAAAAAAATACAGCTTCTTGTAATCTCCTGCATTTTGGCCACTAATGTTGTTATCCTAGTCAGGAAGAGTTTTAAACTTGTAGTACACAGTATAATCTCACCCCAAAGAAGAGTTCCTAATCCCGTCAGCAGCTAAATAAAGCAGACTGGGATAACTAGTTCAGTCCAAGAAACGTATTAGACATTTCAGGTTTCTATGGCGATTCCACTTTTTCCTCTCCATCCACATAATGATTGCCTTATCTCTTTCTATTATTTACTCTCTTTCAGGATCTCTCACTTTCTGCCAGCATTTTAGGCTCATTTTATATCTCATCATCAATGAAGTAAACTTTTTCTTCCATTACTGATCCCCTTTTGAAAATGCTAGTTGCATGGTTACAATTTTTTCCCTCTTGCTTCAATACATTCAGAATCCTTTACCTAGAACAAGTATGCACAATCTGTCCTTATCTTCACCCTTACTCTGGGCTACTGACTAAAAGGGTTTGAAACAACATGATTGCCATGCACTAGGTTTTGAAGAGCGAAATGTAAAGTCAACAATAGCAGCCTTTAGATTTCTTTCAGAATAGTTTACTTTTAGGGCCCGTTCACACTTATGCGCTGTGCTATTGCATGAGTATTAAGGCACATTATGCTGTGGTTATGCAAAGGCAGCCTCATTTGAACAAGCTGACTAACACACCAAAATACACCAAAAAAGGAACATTAACTATTTTTAAAAAAATGTTTATAATGTGGTATACTGCAACACACAGTAGTGTGTTCACATGCATTGTGGTGCTCTGCAATGTACATCCACTGCCAAGGTATGTTTGAGTGCCATCAAGAATGAAAAGCACTGCACTGCATGAGTGTGCATAATGCCCATTACTGTGTGTCATGGTAACAAGTGCACTAAAGTGTGAACAGTCCCTATAGAGCACTTTCAGACAGGAAACTAATATATTCCTCTGTAGTCACACCTGAACAGTGAGTCTTCACAGACTTCGATGGGACCATCTCCCAAAACTGCCACTAGAATATTAACCACTTGCCAATTGCCCTATAGCAGATTTACTGCTACAGGGGGGGAAGTTCTGTGCAAAATAACACATATATATACATGATTTTTCACTTCTGATGTAGGGGGCTTGCATGCTGCCAGCGCACTACTTCTGCTGCGATTTGACACAGCAGAAGCCAATCAACAGGTGCCAGCCAATGGATGAGCGCTGGCACACACACTTATCATCAAGGAGAGTGACAGGACACAGCACTACCTATGTAAACAAGGCGATGTGCTGGATTTTCGTTCCCTGCAAAGCAGGGAAGGAAATCTAGCACAGCAATTAGTAAAAACAGCACATATTACACAGTAAAATACTGGTAAGGTACATATTTAACCCTTTGAGTGCCCTAGATGTTAACTCCTTCACAGCCAGTGTCATTTAATACAGTGACAGTGTATATTTTAGCACTGATCATTGTATTAGTATCACTGGTTCCCACAATGTTTCAGTGTCAGACTTTCTGCCGCAATATTGCAGTCCCTGCAATAACTTGCTAAATGCCGCCACTACATAAACAAAACCCCTTGATTCCAGTATATACAGTATACTATAGTTTATAGACCCTATAACCTTTCACAATTCAATCAATATACACTTATTGAGAGTTTTTATCATTTTTTTTATTGGATATGTTTTAAAGCAGAAATTATAAAATATATGTATTTTTTCAAAATTGTCAGACTTTTTGGTTTCTAGTGCAAAAAAATGAAAAACCCAGAGGTGATCAAATGCCACCAAAAGAAAGCACTATTTGTTGGAAAAAAGTGATATACATTTTATTTAAGTACAGCATTGCATGTCCGCCAGTTGTCAGTTAAACTAACACAGTGCCGTATAGCAAAAAATGGCCTGGTCATGAAGGGAGGTACCGTATATACTCGAGTATAAGCCGAGTTTTTCAGCACATTTTTTGTGCTGAAAAACGGCCCCCTCGGCTTATACTCGAGTCAACGTCTGCAGGGGGCTGCTGTCTCTTACCTGGCTCCGGTCCCACGACGATCCGGTCCAGGAAGCGCGGCTGCTCCTTCATTCGGTTCGTCCACTGGATGTTCACGCGGCTGCTCGGCTCCGCCTTCTCACTGGTGATTGGCCGCCAGAACTGTAGCTCAGGAAAGGCACACAGGCGGCCAATCACCGGCGAGGATGCGGAGCTGAGCGGCCCCGCGAAAATCGAGTGAAGGAGATGCAGGTAAGTGTGCCGTGCTTAGGTGCTGCTGCAACCACATATGCTGGCTGCAGCAGCACCATACTGGAACAGGGGTCAGCAAGTGTCAGTGGGAGGAATAGTGCCCCATCATTGGTGTCACTGATAACAATGATGGGGCATTATTCCTCCCACTGACACCAACGATGGGGCACTTTTCCTCCCCCCCACTGACACCAACGATTGGGCACTATTCCTCCCCCCCCCCCACTGACACCAATGATGGGGCACTATTCCACCCCCCACTGGACACCAACCATGGAGCACTATTCCACCCCCCACTGACACCAATCATGGGATACTATTCCTCGCCCCCACTGACACCAACGATGGGGCACTTTTCCTCCCCCCCACTGACACCTACGATGGGGCACTATTCCTCCACCCCCCCACTGACACCAATGATGGGATACTATTCCTCCCACTGACACCAATGTGGGGACACTATTCCTCCCACTGACACCAATGATGGGACACTATTCCTCCCACTGACACCAAAGATGGAGCACTATTCCACTGACACCAATAATGGGGTGCTATTCCCCCCACTGATACTAATGATGGGGCACTATTCCTGCCACTGATACCAATGATGGGGCACTATTCCTCCCACTGACACCTATGATGGGGCGCTATTCCTCCCACTGATACCAATGATGGGGCACTATTCCTCCCACTGACACCAATGATGGGGCACTATTCCTCCCACTGATACCAATGATGAGGCACTATTCCTCCCACTGATACCAAATGATGGGGCACTATTCCTCCCACTGACACCAATGATGAGGCACGATTCTTCCCACTGGTGTTTCCACCCTCGGCTTATACTCGAGTCAATCGTTTTTCCCAGTTTTTTGTGGTAAAATTAGGTACCTCGGCTTATATTCGGGTCGGCTTATACTCGAGTATATACGGTAAATCTTCCGGAGCTGAAGTGGTTAAAGTAGCAGTATTTCGTTGTAAAATCAAGTGTGCTCTTTGCTGCAAAGAGATTTGGCATGTTCCCCCACACATAGGCATGTCACCACACATGCTCAGAGGCAGGGGCGGACTGACAACTCATGGGGCCCCCGGGCAATAGGGAATCATGGGGCCCCTGTGTCCTTGCCCACACTCAAAAAAGCCTACAAATAAGGTACCAGGGGCATTTCATGGGGCCCTACTGACCCCGGGCCCTCGGTCAGTGCTTGAGTGCTCGAATGGTCAGTCCGCCCCTGCTCGGAGGTTGTCTTAGTCCTGAACCTACTCTCAGGTGCCACAATGGAAGCCTCATCATGCACTCTCTACCTTGCTGGAATTTGGAGGTGTGGTCCCAGTCAGGGAGACGACCTGGTGTGGAAGAGATGTCTTTGCAGGCACTGGTATGTCCAATGGTGCTCACCTAGGCCTCATTACCCACTCAGCACCAGGCACACGTCACTGCCACTGCAAGCCAGTCAAGGCTCAGGAGGGACCCTAAGCAAAGATGCATCATACACTTTAAGCTTCAGTTTAAAGATCGATATCCAAAACTGGTATTTCAGTTTTGCCTTACAGTTTGTATGTTGAATCATATGCTAAGTTCTTATATACTGCATCTAGGGACTCTAATAATAAGAGGAAATATATATTAACCTCCTTGGCGGTATTCCCGAGTGTAGCTCGGGGTAACATTTCAGTACCAAAAGCGGTAACCCCGAGCTACACTCGGGAATACCATGCGGCGCTGCTCCGGCATGTGTTCTTCACTTACCTTACCCTGCGCTCCCACGATGTGTCCCCTGCAGCGTCCCCGGCCATCTCCTCCGGCCGATGCCGGCATCCGGCTTCTGTGTCCTGTCCCTGTGTGACGTCGGGACGTACGGGCGCCGCCGCCGCCAGCGGCGGGAAATTTAAAAATTTTAAAAAATGTCTTTTTTTTTTTTTTCATTTTACACAGTAAAACATTGCTGTTTCAACCTATTTCACATACATTTTGTCCCTAGTGCTTTGTCCTGCGCCCTGCCTGCATTTTGTCTGTTCTTTCTGCCTGGAAACTGAGAAATGTCCATGGCGTCCAAAAAGTGTCCCTTTAGGTCAAAAGCGGTTTAGATCAGCTAGAGAACAGTGATAGTAAATCAGAACCACTTACAGAATTGAGTGATAATGATTCGTGGGGGAAATTCGTCATCAGAAACTGAAAATGATTTTGCGACTGAGCTCAGCAATGTGCGAACTTGGCGCTCTATTTCACATTTCAGTGTTTTTGGTTTGATTATATTATTGAATTAAATTTTTTATTATTTTTATATTATTTTTATGATTATTTATTAAATTATAATTTATGATTTTGTGTTTCAAATTTTATCATACCCGGGATGTTTACTAGACTCTTGTTCGGACAGATTTCAGTGAGTTTTTCCTAAAAATTACAGCCTACAATAAAAAAAATACATATTTCCATGCAAAAAAATGGTACCGCTTTCAGCACCAAAAATCTGAAATAATCATACCGCCAGGGAGGTTAAACCATTTTGCTACTGTCATTATAAAGCTAAATGTTCATGTTACATTCCCTGACAGATTTTGCCTTGTTGAATAAGTAAATAATTGAGGAATCTGACAGCAAGAAAGAGACATGTTTGTTATAGGGAACAGAAGAACACAATACTGTGGAGGAAACATATCAACAAAGTGTACAGATTTGATACCCTTTGGGTGAATAGACGCAATGGTGCTCACCAAACATATAATGTTCATTTTGGTTGGAGTTGACCTTAGAGAAGGGGCAGACTGACCATTTGGAAACTCGTGCACTGCCCCTGGTACCTTTTTCATAGGCTTTTTTGAGTTTGGGCAAGGACACAGGGACCCCATGATCCCCTTTTGCCCGGGGGCCCCATGAGTTGTCAGTCCGTCCCTGCCTTAGAGTATATTTAACATTTTTTAGGCTTTTGGATAGCAATCCACAGTGAATTGCTGACAGTGTTTTAACTATTGCTCGTGTCCCAATTAGAAAGATTCACACTATATTTGCTCTGTTGACCATTATCACTGGGAGAGTGAAATCCGAAACATTGAGGGGAAATTTTCCAATGGGGATACTTGTTCTGGAGACAACCTCATGAGAGGGGATTTCCCTCACTTCCTGATGTATCTAAAGGATTTAAAAGAAAGTAAAATCTTTCTAAAGATTCTCAGATGGCAAAAAAATGACAGGGCTTTTAACCAATTACCTACTTGGCTTAAGATATACTTTGAACATTACAGAAGGTGGCTAATTCCTGTTTTTTCACCTCCCCTTCCCCTGTATAAAGGAAAACGGTAGTTTAAACACTTTATTTATATATTATTGCATTGATAGCTTTGCAATTATGCACCCTCCATATACTGTCTTTGTACAAGGAACTCTCTTTTGATATATTTGGTCATCACTTCAGTTGCGGTCATTTCTAATCATTTTATAGTATGAAAAAGTACTTGCTACATTTTAGTTAAAAACGTTCAAGTAACTGAGGTTTTGATTTAAAAATGCCAAATGTTCTTGCAACTGCTTCAGTTTTTTTTAATCTTATAAAACGCACATATCTAAAGAAATGTCTTTTTGGAGTCCACATCAAAAGGCTTTTAGAAGTCATCAAAGCATACGAATGCTGTAGAATAGCATATGCTGTACTAATGACATTTTCATTTCTTAAAACATTGAAGGCAATAACTCTACAAAAGCCATACATTTCTTTCTATGAATCATAAATGCAAAAATATGTGACAATGGCTCTGCAGGATCATGCTTTTATGTTTATGATAATATACTTGGTACTAATAAAAATGAGTAGTCTAGACTCTGTATGCACAACCTTTGGGCCTGGCAATACATTTTGTCACTTGGGGCTTCACCTCAAAGAAAGTGTAGCACTTCTAATCTACACTGATATACTGATTAAAAGACTTTGTGCTGATAAATCTGAAGATTCTGTGTGTTGGATAATACTTTAAAGGAGTTTCCACTTTTACCAATATAGTCAGAAGTCAGAATGAGCCTAATGTACCTGGGTTTAGTTTAAGGTGGGTTCACAGAACACAACTTAAGTTCAGGTGCTTGAAGCCAATGGGAGCTGAATTTTAAAAAATAGGAATGGCCATTTTCTAGGCTAATAGGCAAGGGATTCTGAAACAATAGGCATTACCCTGAGAACATGTACTAAAGCAAATTTTTTTTATTTTATTTCTATAGTGGGAAGCAGCAATTTGAATAATGCTTTATTGTCACTATTAAAAATAACATGCCTGGGAATGCCCTTACCTGTCTGTGAAGTTGCTCATCTGTATGATGTACACTACCTACTTCAGCAAAACTGTAATTTACAAAGTAAAAAATGCAGTCTAAAAAGCTGGTACATTACAACTTTGGACACTTTACTTCTGCATGTAAACAAATGGCAGGGAATTTCCTTCATCTATACCAGATTCTTATCCCAAGATAAACATGCCCCCTCTCCTCCCCAAATCACACTAGACCACATAGCCACTAGGTTCCACCCTGCAAAGCACATTTTCCCTATATTGATGAGGACAAGGGCCTCTTCCCCACAACTCTGGCTTGGTGGTTGTAGGGGTCTGCGGATATGGGGCTTATTGGAATCTGGAAATCCCCTTTAGAAATAAGGGTACACCCAAAAGCCACACCCATATGAATAAGGTATTTAAGAATGCAAACTAAAGGTATTTAGCTACAAAAAAGTCCCATAATGTATATCCCCAATATGGATCCATCATCAATTACCTTGTCCAGTGATGCAGATCAATGTTAATCATGATGAGCAAGAACCACTGAAAGAAAAGTATAGTGCTAACTGATCCCATCACTGACTTGTACCAATTGACATGTCCTGGTCCCCACCACTAATGGTAAACAAAGGGGGTGGAGTTTATCAGGTGATTTCTTTGATCAAATATGGACACAACCATAGTTCAATGTCATTGCCCAGATACGTGGCTATATTTAGTCAGTGATGTAATGTTATCCCTGCCCCCTTGCTTACATGGCCAGAGTTTCCTAGTCAGTAAAGGAATAGGGCCAAGCGATTTCACTGATTGCTTAGGAAGTTGTGGGTTTTGGTACCCACCTCTTCCTTTGCAACCACTGACTGAAAGAAAACTGTCATATATGTAGTGGTACAAATACCACTACTATATATGATTTTCTACTCTCAGAGAAAGTTCATACTGAACTTATGTCTGGACAGAACCTTGAGCTCATTCCTAAAGGCTGATTCACACCGACAGCTATAGTAACTGTACAGTTGCTGGCAGGGGCGGACTGACCATTTGGAAACTCGGGCACTGCCCGAGGGCCTGGGGTCAGTAGGGAGCCCCATGATATGCCCCTGGTACCTTTTTCTTAGGCTTTTTTGAGTTTGAGCAAGGACACAGGGGCCCCATGATCCCCTATTGCTCAGGGGCCCCATGAGTTGTCAGTCCGCCCCTGGTTGCTGGTGTATACTGGGAGTACACTGTGCTGAAGTGCCAATCCCAATGCATCACACTGTCGTGCACTATTTCAGCCCACTGCACTGAAAAAAAAAACTTAATTCAGTACTTTTTTCTGCGACCACCACCACCACAATGCAGTGATATGAACTGACACCATAGGAAACTAAGCAAGTTGACTTATCTTTGCACTAGGACTGCTCTATGCAACACTATCCAATCCGTTCCAACACAAATGGGTTGAATGGGCTCTAATAGTAAGAAATCCCCTAATTTACAGTCAGAGGTTTTCATAATTCATCAGAAATCACAAATATTTGCTTATGACCTGACCGTTATTTATAAGATTTCAGACAACCTGCCCTTAGACAATACAAGCACAAATAGTTTCTGAGCATTAAGCACACAGAGTCCTGTCGGCAAACTTGCTGCCAGCTCACAAAGAGGTAAATTCCAGCCAGGTGTAGCTAAAATAAATGTAAACCCAAACTCTAAAATGTCACATAAGCTTTAACATGTTAATGTATTTTCAAAAGTGTTTTCAATATTGTGAAATATGCTGAATTTAGTAAAACGATACCTGGTGATTCTCCCTTGAAGGTTCTTCCGCAAACATGTCATTTGATAGAGTGACAATGCTCTGTCCCTGTCTTCCAATTGTGCTCCTAAATTGTGACCCTGTCACACTGGCTTCTGATAGAGACACAACCCAGACACATAGAATACAGGTGTCTATATCAACACACCTTACCAGGGGCGGACTGACAACTCATGGGGCCCCCCGGGCAATAGGGGATTATGATGGGGCCCTTGTGTCTTTGCCCAAACTCAAAATGCCTATGAAAAAGGTACCAGGGGCATCTCATGGGGCCCCCTACTGACCCCGGGCCCTCGGGCAGTGCCCGAGTTTCCAAATGGTCAGTCCGCCCCTGCACCTTACATAAGCATGGTCTACTAATACCTTTAGCTCTTCCCAGATGGAAGAAAAATATATTTGAAATATATTTTAAAAATATTCTTCCCAAATATATTGCCATATATTTGAAATGCTACAATGTTGGCCATATTCAATATATTTCAAAATAAATATATATATTTATATATATATATATATACTGCATGCTGAAATATTTTTAAAAACACATTTCAAATATACTGCATGTCTTTAAAAATCTAAAAACCTACATTTTGGAGTGCATTTACAAATATATGTAAAAATATATGTTAAAATTACTTTTTTATATGTTAAAAAAATATGGAGAATATATTTAAAAAAAATATATTTGTAAATGCATTCCAAAAATGTAGTAGATTTGTATTTTTGAAGACATACAGTATAATTGGAAGAACGGTCTGGATAAAAGCGCACAGATGTGTCCCAAAGGAAATAAGTGAATGGTATATGTCAACTATGATTGGTGGGGAAAAAACTCACTGCTGCCATGGTAAAAAAACACATCGGTTTGTGGGAAGTATGAACAGGAGCCAGGCGCTGTGTAGTTTTGTGATAAAAATAATACACCTTGTATGGAGGTGTGCCTTTAATAAGTCATATGGTAAAAAAATAAATAACCAGCCTGTGGCTTTAATGAGACTTGACAAAGCGCATGCGCGCGAAACATGTTGTCCCGGCAACCAGCCTCTTCCTTCTAAAGCTGCGGCTCCAGCAAGAGTTCCCCCCCTCCGTCTCTCCACATCGTGGTGACGTCATCCAGGACACTGGGAAGTCGGGTACACGTGGTCCCTGTACTGACAGGCATTCTACTCCACTGCTTCCCTCTGAGCGGACGGGCCATCCATCTTGGAACCTGGCTTCCTAAAGCCACAGGCTGGTTATTTATTTTTTTACCATATGACTTATTAAAGGCACACCTCCATACAAGGTGTATTATTTTATCACAAAACTACACAGCGCCTGGCTCCTGTTCATACAGTATAATTGAAATGTATTTTTAAAAATATTTTTAACGTATTTTGCAATAAAAACGCATTTCAACATGAAGTATATATATATATATATATATATATATATATATACAGTATTTATATATATATATATATATATATATATATATATATATTATAGATATAGTTATTGAAATATATTTTGAAATATGTTGAATATGACCAAAATTGTAGCATTTCAAATATATGGCAATATATTTGGGAAGGACATATTTTAAAAATATTTTTCAAATATATTTTCTTCCATATGGGTTACTCCATTGCCTGCCATAAACAGCAGAGGAGGCCAAGCACAGAATCACTGATGCACTGTCTGCTACTCATGCCATCACTTTGATGCAGTTTTTAACTGTAAACATGGCCCCAAGGCAATACTCCTCTTAATCACAAAATGGTTCTGAACCAAGGGAGCAAAAGGGAGAGAGAAATTAACCAGTTCCCAATGGCGCTATAGCCGAAGGACAGCTACAGCATGGTTGTGGAATCCTGGGATGACGTCCATGGACATCATTCCAGAACCTGCTCCCCTTCGCGCAACCGGTGATCACTATGTCCTACGGTAAATGGCCAATCACGGCTGCCTTTTACCATGTGATCAGCTGTGTCCAATGACACAGCAGATCACCCGGTAAATACAGTTGCCTGTTCACGGCTGCACTTTCCTCACGCTTACGAAAGTACTGCCGAGAATCGACAGTTGTCAGCAAAGGGATCGGCACTGATCATAAGGACACTGAAGATAAGTGCCCTGATGATCAGTGCCCAGCAGTGCAGCCCATCTGTGCCACCCACCTGTTCCCAGCAGTGCCTCCCACCTGAACCCATCAGTGCCGCCCACATGTACCCATCTTTGCCACCCACCTGTACTCATCAGTGCCACCCACATGCCCTGCAGTGCCACCCACCTGCTCCCATCAGTGTCACCCACATGCCCTGCAGTGCCACCCACCTGTGCTTAGCAGTGCCACCCACCTGTGCCCATTAGTGCCACTCACCTGTGCCTAGCAGTGCCACCCACCTGTGCCCATCAGTGCCACCCACCTGTTCCACTCAGCAGTGCCACCCACCTGTGCCCAACAGTGCCACCCACCTTTGCCCTGCAGTGCCAACCACATGTGCCCATCAGTGCCAACCACATGTGCCCTGCAGTGCCATCCATCAGTGCTGCCCACCAGTACCGCCCATCAGTGCTGCCCATCAGTGCCATCTATCAGTGCTAGCTCATCAGTGCCACCTATCAATGCTGCCTATCAGTGCCTCCTATCAGTGCCCGTCAGTGCTGCCTATCCGTGCCACCTCATCAGTGCCCATCAGTGCTGCCTATCCATGCCCATCAGTGCTGCCTATCAGTGCAGCCTCATTAACGCACATCAGTGAAGGAGAAAAATTACCCATTTGCAAAATTTTATAATAGATACAAAGAAAACTTTTTTTTCAAAATTTTTTTGCTCTTTTTTGTTTATAGCACATTAAATACCACCAAAAGAAAGCTCTATTTGTGTGAAAAAAATGATAAAAATGTCATATGGGTACAGTATTGCATGACCGTGCACTTGTTATTCAAAATGCGACAGTGCTGAAAGCTGAAAACTGGCCTGGGCAGGAAGGGGGTAAAAATGCCCGGCAGGCAAGTGGTTAAAGGAGCTAATCCCCAGAGCCCTGGCACAGACCTCACTCCACTACATAAACTCAGTGAGGAAAGCAGCCCACACTCCTCAATCCCAGACTAAGATTATGGAAATGAAGAAAATACAACCATGCCAAAGCAGTACTTCCTGAATTGAGTTGAACTCACGTTCAACCCAAAGCTCATACCTATTTAAAACTTTGCATAATGCTGATGGGCATACTGCTGGTATAAAAATAAAAGTTAACTTTAAACTAATCTGCTCCTTCTTATTGAAAAACTGTTCTTAGATTATTCATTTTATTGTAAAATATACATCTTACAACCACCTTTTTATATGTAGCTCTACCCCTCAGGAATCACTAGTTATTTTCGGGCTCCCTGTCTGGATGCCTCTCTGAAAGCCCAACCCCTGCTGACATCACAGGATGCTTTTGACCAGAGCAAATTACCACTAGACTGACACACAGATGAATAAACGGATATGAGGTTTATATTACACTTCAATCTAAGCTTGGTCGATCAGTACAAAAAGATATTGATACTTGGAATGGCAATGTATACTAATAGCAACTCTAAGCAAAGAAAACAACACATGCAGCAGAATCTCAATCAGTGTTAGCAGGCCTGCTTTTCAGAAGTTAACCCAATACCTTTGACCTGAGGTGGTGTCAACCCTAGTGAGCAATAAGAACTAGCAACTATGGGACTGACTCACTTTGGGCCCTTAGAATCTGATGGCAAGGCTTAAATCTGAGATAAAAGAGCTCTTTGACTAGGGCAGTCATTGTCCCTTTAAATGCAGTGAGGAGTCTTCTGTGTGCTCACTGGGGCCTAATTGTTGCACAAGTAGACAATGATGTAGATTACAGTTCCTGTCAGGATCAGTGGCTTCCAGTAGGTCCTGGCTGTCTCTCTGTCAGCGGACGGGGGCCCCCACAGCTTCTCGTGCAGTGTTCTGTTTGGTCACTGCACTCTGGGTCACCTGCTGGCAGACTGTCTCGCTGAACAAGGTGGCGTGGTCAGTGGCTCCTCCTTGCCTCTCCTTTCTCTGACTCTGTAGCCTGGACCGGTTCTCAGTTCAACTCAACTTTCTCTCTGCTTCTTTTCTTCAGCACTCTCCCCTCTCCCTTTCTATCTAATCACCCAGGCTTCTGTACATATCTGCCCCTGCCCACATGCCAGCTCTTCTGGAAAAAATAGTCCACTGATACACTGCTCCCTAGCAAAGTCCTGCAGTTCAGCATACAAGGTCCATGGGCGCTTCTCTGCAGAATGTGAGTTCCACTAAATTTGCAGGACACTGCCATCTTGTGTTGGTTTTAACATCCTGCAGCTGACATTACAGCAAGGGTTTTATATATAAAATTAATAAATATAAGTAATACGCAGACAGGATACATACGTAAAACCATTTTTGTTACTCAGCAAGAGTCTCTATGCTTGGAACCTCAACAACTTGAATTTCTCCAGCTTTATGCAGCTCAGTCTTAACAATAAAATGCTTAATAGAATTCTTTTGGGGCAACTAAGGACACAGTGAGCATGTGCCACAACGTGTCATCAGGGACAGCTGTAACAACCCAGAAGATAAAGCTGGCTTCTTTTGATATCAGCAAAGAAAATGGTGACACAGGACCCGACATGCAGTGACAGAGTGGTGGCTTACAGTATGACAACACTGGGCATGTGCATTGGTTAATTTATCATACCACAGCAAAATGGAAATAGGAGGTAAAAAACAATAAAATACATCACAGATAAAGAAAATGCATATGCATATGAAAAAGAAACCATTGAAATAGGTAAATGACATTAAGCAGCACTTTACAGAGTACTTGGAACCACTTACATTTTCTGCCCCAGCAGAGTTTACAGGATAAGGCCACCATGAAAGCCACAAGTATGGGCTTTCAGTTTCTTTATTACCTGCTCACCAGGACCTTAATGGTTGAAATGTTCCCCTGGACTCACAAGTCGTACAACCATTGAGTAGGTAAAGCCATATCTTGCACTGACGTGGGCTAAAATTCTTGAAACAGGTGTATGCCAGTTGATAATACTTGCTCTATAAAACTTGACTGTAACTGGACTGTATACACTAGCATTTCCAGATGTAATGATGGCTAGAAGGAATGAAAAATAATGGTTTACATGACTCCACTCACTTACTCATAAGCAGAGAGTTTGCTTCTTGTATTTGGGTTTGTGCTGGATGTGTAAATACCTTCTATTTTAATAAGACAATGCTGTATCAGTTAATTTAATTTAATTAAACACCAATAAATGTTTCTCTCTATTTTTGTATACTGGGGAAAACAAATCAACTACAGGAACACTGTAAAAATGGAGAGCAT